AAGACGAAATTCTTGTCCAGTGTCGAACATTTCACGAAGCCGCTTCTTGCTGAATGATGAGACGATGGCCCCTCGAGATCTCCTGCACAGTGATAGAGAAAATGATAATGACACAAGTATTAATTAAATAGACAATATTTTAGCATCATTGGAGTACTACCAATGGTTATTTTCTCTATTTTTGTTTTTGATCTTGTATCTATTTCCTATCTCATTGTTACATGTTACGAATTGAAGGTAGTTTAGAAGCAGTGATAATGCATTGTAAATTAGAAAAAAAACTTTAATTTTATATGGAACAAACCGAAAACTATGCATCAGATTTGATACTACTCTTCGCTACATCCCTTGAAGTCTCTTATGTCCGTCTCGCGTTTCCTACATCGTCCAATCTGCAACTTTCTGAGGTCGTCCTCAATGTAGACCAACCATCTTTCTAGGCCTTCCTCGTAGCCGACTACCCCCTGGCTATCCGACTAAACTTTCTTAACAGGCCTGACCTCTGGCATCCTTTCCACGTTGCCAATACACCTGAGGCGGCTCGCTTTTATTTCAGCCACAGTATCTGTTGTCCGGTATAGAACTTTCAACTCTCCGTTTGTACGAATTCGCCATTGACCATTCATGCAAACTGCGCCAAAGATCTTCCGAAGTGCTTTTCCTTCGAAACGCCACAGAAAATCTTCGTCATGGTCATCGTTTCTGAGCCATGAAGGACCACCTCGCTATCGTTCCATAGATCCTGAATTTCAAACTGTAGCAGAGAGATAAGGAAAATCACCCCCAAGGCAAAGTATCTCAAGTTTCATTACGTCTAATAAACGATGAGAAAAAATTTAGAGTGTAAATAGATGTTAAATCGATGCTTTAATTTTGTCTTTTCCGATCATTCTGGTCCTCCTGTCCTCGTTTTAGTCAGCCATCTACGGCATTCTAATATTTTCATGTGGGTTTTTTTGCTATTTTTGACAAAAAACAAATACAAAAGTTGACAAATTTCTGAAACTCGTCCTCGGAAAAAAATCCAGCGAAACTAGTCAGACCAGCATCGAAAACGGCCATACTACCAAAACATAATGCATTTAATTTTCCTCCCGGCTTCTGTAGCAGTTTGTGACATTCTTCGAACTCTAAAAAGCTGCAAAATCTTGTCTTAAATGGAACGCGGCTAACATAAATTACACACAAACTTACCACTGAAGATTGCGAACGAAACCCTTCTGTCAGATTAAAAACAGCGAGGATAGGCGGAATGTTCGGAAACGACTAAACTACAGCATAATTTATAGCTTGGATTTCCACCCGACAAATGTTCAACGTTTATCTGATACATCCGACTAGCAGGTTTTCACCGTGTGCTCTTTAAAAATGAAATAAAATAATTAAATTGCCTCACAATTCCACTGTTAATAAATGAAAGGAAAGTTAGATAAAAACCTGACTTTCAGATGTTATATATATATTTATAGCTCAATTATCAAGGAAGTAAATCAAAATTATAAACCAGGGATAAAAATGAAAAATAATACTTTTCTCCCTTAGTTTTTTATATAAATGAGCTTGTATACCCGAAAAAATTATCCTTTCATGTGAAAGCAATTCCCGACGGACGTTTCTCTACCAGAGGTGAGAAATTATCTGAGAAAAAAAATCTGAAATAAAAATAAAAGAGGAAGGACTTGAAAGAAGATTTTAAAACCGAGTTTCGTTAAGTTCGGGGCTTGAAATTCCTTGATAAATTGTTTATTAAATCTAGAAAGTTTATATCAATACAGACTGGCCTGAAGCCCCGATCGTTCTTGAATAAATTCATAGGGTACAATTCTCAGGTGATTACTATGATTAACGTTAGTCATCAAACAGTACAACGAACCAGTTCAATAAAAATAGGTACTTTACGTAAACTTAATTTAATGACTTTTTTACCGCTTTCTTCTCTCACCGATTTTGTTCTCCTCGTCCAGTTTGACGCCATCGTGGTTAATTTGAAACAATATTATTAATGATTAGTGATTCGTGAGATGCGGTCTGTTGTGAAGTAGGTTTTAGAAAAACATTTTCTTTATCGTGCCAACGTTTCGATCTGATCATCTTCAGGGACTGCGATGCATAAACATAGCCCAAAGTGTTTGTGTCCCCTTTTTACGAGGGTTCGCAACAGGAGAAGTCCATAAACACTCAGGGTGCCGGTGTTTTTGAAAAAAATTCCATTTGTAAGTATGTCGTATCCAGCGGCCCTGGATTCGAACCCGGGACCTTCTCCTTACAGTGATGAGCGCCGTCTCAACGCCTAACGTTGCGGTACCATGAAACCTATCATAGCTGGGAGAACAGTTGCGTATTATATAGTAGAGTTTTGTAAGAATAATGAAAAATGAAAAAAGAATGTATTCGTTTAGCTGAAAAGTTTCTAGAACATCCAGTCATAAGATTAATTCTTATAAAAAAACAATGTTACAGGAAGAATATGACAGTTTACTATTAAATCATCATCGTTAATTACTGCCCGGAAGTCAAATTTTGATATTCACAATTTAGACATCTCTGTGCAGTTCTGTCTTGTGGTACGGCCCGTTTTCGGCCATCCTTGTCTGTCTACCTATCCACGATCAACGAGTCTGACAGAGAGAGTATAGGTGGACCAGGTTCAGAATGAAACGACCAAACTTATTGTATATTATACTCTGGTTGGGGGTTCACAACATCAGAGGTCATATACCTCAGGGTGCACGTTGTTTTGGAAAAAAAAAAGAAGCCCATTTGTAAGTATGTCGGTTATTCTTAGTGCGGGTTTGCAAGAGGCAGGTAGAACTACCACTATTGCTAAATAAAGGAAACATTTTTAACAGAAAACCAACAAAAAAAATTTAATTGAACCCATGCCAGTTCAGCATGAAAAGAAAAAATATTTTTAGTCCATAATGTTGTTCATAGTTGTAGTTGTTTTCTTATTTTCCCCACGAAATTGTATAAGTGATTTTTTTTCCGAGGGTTCCCAACAGCAGAGGTCATATAAACCCTTGTTTTTGAAAAAAAAGCCCTAATAAGTATGTCGGGTTTGAATGCAGGGCCGCTGGATTCGAACCCGGGACCTTTACCTTACAGTGATGAGCGCCGTGTCAACACCTAAACCGTTGCGGCCACCGACGGTCTCAATCTGTGTTGTTTACGTGATGTAAAAGTCAATTTTACAAATATTTAAAAAAATATCTAAACTAAATATATACTTAATTATATAGTGTATAGTATATATAGTAGTAGTATATATAGTATAGAATATATAAAAATATAAACTATATATAAAGCAAATAAACTCTAAATCATGAATGTATCAATGCTCGAATTTGCGATTCCTTGACCAGGAGTATTATGTTAAGATGTGTTGGTTATTACAACAACAGTAAGTTATACCGGAGCAGCATAAAATCCTTCACTAAACCAGATTAAAATTGACCTAATTAGAAATGTGCCATTTTTCCTGATAAATACACACAGCGATGCTATAAAGCTGAACGCAGAAGTATGATGTACCACTTTTCAAACTTGACTTCAAAAGTAACACAAGATTCCACTTACAGTGATTTCATTTATCCTGTATCATCACCCACCCGAATACTTCAAAACCCGATTTTAAGAATTTTTAGACTTTTGTCACTTTTCTTGTAGGTATGCGATATTTATTGTAAGTACAGAGCATGAGATAAAACATATATTAAAGATCACAATAAAGTAACATAACTCTTGGCATGTTCATCATTATTATTATCGTAAAAAAAGTTTTGATATGTCTGAAGAATTTAAAGTAGGATAGGAAAGAATAATTATTCAGAAATCGTGAGATGCGGTCTGGTGTGATGTAGGTTTCAGAAAAACATTTTCTTTATCGTGCCAACGTTTCGATCTTTATTGAGATCATCTTCAGGGCCTGGGATTTACAAACGTTGTATAAATTTAACAAATACAAGTAGGATGTGGAAAAAAGTGAATTTATACAATGCAAAATATATTTTTTATATTCAATAAAAAAATATTGTTTGTAAATCCCAGGCCCTGAAGATGATCTCAATAAAGGTCGAAACGTTGGCAGGATAAATAAAATGTTTTTCTGAAACCTACATCACACCAGACCGCATCTCACGATTTCTGAATAATTATCGACTAACGGTCACTAATCACCATACATAGGAGAGAATGTCACACACTGAACAGCGATCACCAATCGATCTACCTGATTCAGTTAATGAGTGGAAAAGAAACCTTAATTATTTTTATGTTCTAGCAAGGGTCGAAGTAAGAATGAGTTGTGGTTCCGAAATTATACAGCGCACAACTATAAATTGCTCAACTCCAATTCGAATCCTCGCGATTTGAAAGTGGCCGGCTGTAATTCGAAAAACATAACCGGACTTTTAGTTTTACGACAGTTATAGTTACTGGTTTTGATTTAGTTTGGAACTCACACGAAGATCAATTGCACAAGCCGTTCCTCCAGTCGCTGATGCTGGAAAATCGGTCAAAGTTGTACATTTTCGACCGTTCTCAGCTCACTGACAACAGGATTTATTCAGGATGAAATACTGGCCGGTACGGCGAATAACAAATACACGTATCATTTTCGCTTTATAGAATTTCATTTAATTTTGGGTTTGTTCTGTGATATCTTAACTTATCAGGAAAACAAAGAAATGCACAAAGAGACAAGTTAGACATGTCATGGAGATAAGAAAAAGAACATTACATTTAAATATTAATTCCATTAAAATATCAACACCTTTCAAACTCGATCCCGAATAATTTATACACCAAGATATCCTTCAGATGAAATACCACTGAAGTTTATTCCCTTCACCAGTATTATTGCAAAAAATAAATAAAAGGTTATAAGAATTTTTTGGACCGTATTAAAATAATAAATTACAAACAAATAAGAAGTTATTTTTAATCGCTGTAAGTCAGTTTTGAAAAAAGACAAAATATTTTGAACGACTTATTCAATTTATGAATGAATATCTGGAAAAGCTGTTAATAATGAAAAATGAAAATATAAAATTATATTTCCTTTTGTTTTATAAAAATCAAATAAAATCTGCTATTTTCTTAGTATTTAAGGCAAATAAATCTCTTTGGCCTCAATTTTGGAAAGTATCCTGTTGCCGATCTGCTTGAAGGCTTCACCGAAGGCAACACTGACGGAAGGTTTGAGCTCGTTGAGTATCTCACGCCAATGTTCGTTTAGAAAGTTGTTCATGTTGTCCCCTTAAAAAGTAAAACGAACGATTATTCAAATGCAATTGGCGATTTGAAACATGTTTACCTAAGGTCCTGTCGCCGTTGAAAAGATTATCGAACCTGAGCTTTAGCTTGTCAGTATCAAAGTGGTATTTGAGCTTCTCGATCTGAAAATAAACCTTGCCCTTTATGTTCTTCATAACGTACGAGATGAACGTGTTAGCTTTGACATTGTCTAGAAATGATAATAAGTTCAAACATACTTAACGATAACCTGATTTAATAATTTAATGTCCATTAAGGACACTTCAAGGCGATAGTTTACCAAGTGAAAGCTTAAAATGCCCTTCCCCGATTATAGGAAGAACCAGGACTTTGCCGTTTATCCTGTATTTGCCCTCTATGATAACCGGATCTCTGACTGTCAAATTGGACTTCATTATTTTCCAATCATTGCTAAAAAAATAATAATTTGATCATGACAAAATGTATGTTAAATTTGACGTAGTATGTACAGTTAAGAATAGAACAACGAGCAGGCTGTTTATCAGATTTGAGTAATGTTAGGTTGGTGCGATATCATACCTGTACTGGGCCTATAAATACCATTTATTTTAACATAAATAAGTGAAATAATCCCCCAATTAATAACTATTATTTGGAGCTGTATACAGGGTTCAATACTTTTAACATAATGCCTTCCATAACTCTCATTAATTAAGAAATAAATAAATTTTAATTGTATTTTTTGGCTTTTTTTAAAAATAAGTAAATGATAAGAATTTAATTTATGTTATTCATGTTTGTTAATGACTTCCTATCACATTATTATTATCTTCTTACTTTATTTTTTATATTAATTAAGCTAATAAAACTTTTATTTATTAAAATAATGATTACGGTGAGCGCAAAGTAAAGGCTGCCGACTCGTATGTCCCACGCTAAGGATTGTAGGTTCGAATCCCGGATTAGCCTTTTAAATTTGCATTGAAAATAATCCATTAGATTTCGTGGTCGGATTGACCAAATAACATATTTCAATTAATTAATCTTTATGTAAGGTGTTGGTTGAGAAAAAAAAAGTCAGTGTCACGAGCGGGACTCGAACCCACGACTTTCCGCTAAATACGCCGCTGATCTACCACTTGAGCTATCGCGAAATCGTTCTACTCGGACACTAACTTCTCAACCCACCTTTCGAATTTTCTCTCCTTTTTGCCATTTTTGATCTTGATTTTCCCTTTAAGATGTGAAGTAAGTGTCCGAGTGGATCGAAATCACGAGGAGCGGCGTATTTAGCCGAACGTCGTGGGTTCACATCCCGCTCGTGACATTAACTTTTTCATTTCAACCAATACCTTACATAAAGATTAATTAATTGAAAATAATATTAAAAAAGTAATGTAAAGTGGTTTTGTCGATGGGTGGCCCTAGGAGGACCTGACTCGAAGGAAGGTCATACCCACCCGATTAAGAATAGGCCATGCGAGATTGACAACCGACACTTACTTTTGGGCCAAAGGTCGCGTTCGTGATCGGTTGAAAAAGATTGCTCGATGTGTCCCATTAAATTGAAGAGTGCTATTCCTTGGCGCCATATAGAGAGCGAGTAAGGAATGCAACTCAATATGAGAATTGTGCTTGAGGTGTTGAGTATTTGGGTCCCCTGTTCCGATTCTTTGAGGAAACGGATTTGTCTATTGCATATAGTAATAATAGTTGAGTATCTAGTTTGTGTAGAGATTGAATGTATTTATTAGCGTGAATGTGTGGTGTGAAATGGGTGATGGAGGATATAAATCACTCTAATTGAATGAAAGGTAGGGAAATAGGAGTAAACGTATTTAAGAATGAAAATGGTTGCTTTATTGTACAATATACAGTAATTATAGTTTTGTTAGAATATGTTGAGAATGAATGTATATATTGGCGTGAATATTATGTGTGAGGGGGCCGAAGGCTAAATGAGTACTCCATTGAACCTAAATTAGGTTAGTTATATAATACGTATAAAGAGTGATGGAGGAATATCGAGTACTCCACCAAACTTTGCGAATGGTATGTGAAGTAAGAGTGTGAATGGATTTAGGAAATGATTGCGTTGGGGGTCTGAAATTACCTAAATTGTGAGGTGATAAACAAATTGCTTGACGGTTTATACCAAGATGACAGATAACTATTAAATGACTTAGCTGTTGACAGCCCCTGTAGCCCAACCTCGGCAGATGGACGGAGGTCTGACCCCGTACTGCCCACACTGGAATGGGTGATTCTCGAGGCCTAAACGCGCGTGCAGATTTGAGCTTTTATAGATCACATAATCAATAAAGTTGTTCTGACCCTTCGCCCTCGAAGCATTGCAGAAATTAAAGTTTTATCATGTATCTACATTCCAAAACGACTCAAAAAAATTACATATTCCAAATAAGCTTAAAGGAATAAAAAAGGAAGACAACAAAGACGAAACGAAAAAATGTGATATCGGCATGTGCCGTTTTCCCCTGTGCCCAACTTATTTGAGGTTAACATCATTTTGACCAAATTAAGATTTTCAAATTGTAAAACAAAAATTTAACAAAATTGTTGTATTAATTTTGGAAATTTATCCGATTTAATATAGATATTTATCTGTCCAAATATTAGAACTACAAGAAAGCTTTGATCAAAATCTGTAAAATCATTCCAGAGCCAAGCCAAAGATATTTTATTCCTGTGCAATATTGAGAAATGGTTTCTTCAAATATTTGCGATTTTATTCTTAATTATTAGTTTGTCTGTTTAATTGCCCATTTAATATCAGTATAGGTTATTTCGAATTTTCATTATGCCGTAACTCACACGAGATGGACTGTATGCATGCTCTTTAAGTTTTTGACGTCTGTATCGAAGAATTCCAGCTTAATGCTAACAGGACCAGAACCCTGATCGATGTAAATATGTTCGAATCTGAGCGGATCCATGGACGTCACGCCTAACCCTTTATGTCCTGTAAAAAGCCAATATTCAATTAAACAATTTATAAGATTATCACCGCAAACTTACCGTTTATCAGTCTTCCGAAGGCATCGTTGATTGCTTTCCGCAAGCATTCGTTATAAACGGGATCGCTGTTTTGACAAACTTTCCATTCTCTCGCTGAAATTTTATTAAATTAGACTTGTTGACACATAAAACTGACAAACAGCTATTAGATACTAATTTATTGACGTCAGCCCTGCGGGCGATGAATTTGCCGAGTCTGAAAGTGCAAAAGAAATTTTATTATTCACACTCCAGCGACATCTTGAACTGGACTAACGGAGATTTAAGAAGACTTCTGGAAGCAATCCGTCTTGACTTATTAAATTAACTTTTCACAAGAATTTATTGTACCATTTTCGATATACGGTGTGGAACCGTGGGGTTCTACCAAGCCATCCAACATCCAGCGCAACCAATCCTTCCAATCAAAAGTGACAAATAGTCAAAGCTCCTTACAACGCAACTATCCCCACTGTCCACAACGACCTCAGCATTCCAAAAGTTTAACACCAACCTCAATTCAAGTTTTTTTAATCTTCTTCTGATTCAATTTCTGCCACATTAGTCACTCGGCAGACGAGTTGCCCGAAACTGATTAGTAAATAGTCACCATTCGGTTACCTTATTCATTTTATAATCAAGTTTCAATTTTTTTCTGTGAATAATCTTTTTGAACACGTTAAAACAGTTAGAGGATGAAAATCTTAATAAGAGCACATTTAAAACTATACTACGGCCGCATGAATTTCAACGAATCAGTCAAACACGTAATCTTCAGTGAGGAACTATGTTATAAGGACCCAGTAAAGCGATCGGATTTCTTCGGCTAGTTTAATTTACGTACACCGATTCGCAGACCCCTCCACCAACTTTAAGTAGTTCATGACGATAATATAAAAATATTGAAAATTGTATAATGTATTTATATTTTTCAATTAATTCTTCTTTTTATGTAAGGTCTTGTTGGTTGAGATAAAAAGTCAGTGTCACGAGCGGACTCGAACCCACGACCTTCGGCTAAATACACCGCTGCTCTACCACTTGAGCTATCGTCGATCCTCTGGGACACCAACTCTCCATCTCAACCTCCAATTGTTCGAATTTTCCAACTTTTTGCCATTTTCAAATGTCGTGTAATCAGGATTCGATTCTCAGCGACTTATGAAGTGGCCACGGGGAGTTGTTAGTGAAGTCATACTTCTTTCATTTATTAAATATTAATCCATTTACGTTTTAGTGGTCAATTGACCAAGTTCCTTCTTTCAATTAATTATTTTTTTATTTGTGGTGTTCAGTGACCGTTAGTCATTGATTATTCGGAGAACGTGAGATGCTGTCCTGGTGTGACGTAGGTTTTAGAAAAACATTTTCTTTATCGTGCTAACGTTTCGATCATTATTAAGATCATCTTCAGGGCCTCTGATGCATAAACATAGTTTAAATTTTACAAATAAATACAGGAGGTGAGAAAAAAATATCAATTTCATGTATTTGTAAAATTTAAACAATGTTTATATATCCCAGGCCCTGAAGATGATCTCAGTAAAGATCGAAACGGCACGAAAAAAAAACGTTTTTCCCTACGTCACACCAGACCCGCATCTCACGTTCTCCGAATAATCATTCTTTTTATGTCGTATCTCGCTCGTGACACTGACTTTTTTATCTCAACCAAGACCTTACATAAAGAAGAAAGAAGAAGAAATTACTTGGTCAATTGACCACTAAAACATAAATGGATTAATATATTTATATTTAAACACGGCTGGCTATGAAACTGATCATGTTCGAAATATATGTAAAGGCAATTTCAATATCATGGCGAACATTCCACAAAAACTGAACTTTTCTGCCACATTTATAAGTGTGCACTTACGTAATTTCGCTTCGACGACGAGGAGAATCGACAGGAAAATCGGCCATAACATCCTGTACGGTAGTTGAGAGAAAAAGAATAAACTTCTATTTAATATGAGCTGCCTTGGTGGAAAAAATCGGCGTCTTTCTTGGAAAAACGATTGTCATATAATGATGGAAATAATAGGGATGCGCCATTAGGAGCCAGAATTATGCACAACCCCTCCTCGAATCCGTAGCTCTAGGCTGGGGCAATTACCTACGCACAGTAGCCAAATAGGGCCATTAGGGAAATAATGATGCCAAATTTGCCCTCTTCCGGAGCGTAATTATCTTTCGTTGTATTGTTTTACATTTGGATTGTATTTGATTATTGTGTTGGAAGAAGGGGGCTGTCCACAACTGGAAGCAGCTCCTTACCTTTGATGTTGAAGGTGCCTTCAAGTTCACTCTTTGCGAGAATGAATGATATCTATTTACAAAATATATACAGTATTTGCAAAGAAATTAAAAGACTGGCTTCAGGTTTCCTGCCGATATACCTGATTTAAAGTAAAAAAACAACTAATTTAAAACATATCTAAATATTAACGCAGAGGGAAAAAACCTCTACATTATATAGTTAATTCAGCAAAATGCGCTTGGCTCTTTTGTATTTATATTTTTTGTAAAGTGACTGCAAGGAGGCAGCGTCATAATTAACAATATTTCTAATTAATTAATTAATCTTTATGTAAGGTATTGGTTGAGATGAAAAAGTCAGTGTCACGAGCGAGATTCGAACCCACGACTTTCGGCTAAATACGCCTCTACTCTACCACTTGAGCTATGCTCACTTCGATCCACTCGGGCACCAACTTCCCAGCTCAACCCCACCTTTTGAATTTTCCCTCCTTTTTGCCATTTTTCAAATGTCGTGTAGTCTATTCGATTCTTGACGACATATGAAATGGCCACGCAGAGGTTTAGAAAAGTATATTTCATTTTGCTTATTAAATCGATTAGGTTTCGTGGTCCGATTGACCAAATAAATTCTTTTCAATTAATTAATCTTTAATCTTAACCAATACCTTACTTAAAGATTAAATGAAGGTTATTCAGATATCGTGAGATGCGGTCGGGTGTGATGTAGGTTTCAGAAAAACATTTTCTTTATCGTGCCAACGTTTCGATCTTTTATTGAGATCATCTATCGTTGGCACGATAAAGAAAATGTTTTTCTGAAACCTACATCACACCCGACCGCATCTCACGATATCTGAATAACTATCGATTAACGGTCACTAATCTCTACACATTAAATGAAGGATTGGAAGCTCCGGGGTGCACTTGTCCACACAAGATCATGTCACATCAGACTTATAATTGGCCACATGCGGTTGGACCACGTGTCTAACCTTTCTTTTAGGCGATGAATAAAGAAAATAAGAGAAGTTGTATTTTACTTCATAAAAGAATTTAAGGTTTTTATAATCTTATAAAGAAGAGACCGCAGTGTCGAATGGTTAGGGCGTCAGATTCCTATTTGCACTCTAGCTGTTGTAGGTTCGAACCCCGGCAAACCGCGTGGAATTTTTATTAACAATAATATGTAAAAGGTATTGGTCCGACCCTAGTATATGACAGGAATTACTTTACTTTTTTTTCCCTAATGTTTACAAACCAATATGGAGGGGCTAGTTGCCGACAAACTTATGAGCAAGGTTTAGGCTTATTATTCAAAAGAATAGTTAGCTTTGGCTGGAAGAATGTCACTGAGAAGTTCTTTTTTCGTCACAGCTGAGTTACGAACAGGAAATTTTGTAGTGGGAAATGGAGTCTGGCCGATGAAACAGATTTAAATTGGAACATTCCGTAGGGAAAGTGTTTTCAAATCCTGTATGAAGGCTAATTAGTAATTACTCATTGCTCATTTCCAAATTTATATCATATAAACCATCCTCTAAGCTGGTATTGACCAATCGCCATTCTTGTTTTTTTAAAGCTTTTAATACATGGATCATTCCCTTTTCTGAATTATACCAAAAACCTTATTTTCCTCCTAGTGACCCCCCTGGTTCCATTCTGTCCTTTCTCATCTAGTGTCCGTCCCAAATCAGCCTCCATCCCCTCCTAGGTGCATCACGTCTTGAATTCATGAAGGTTCAAGCAACTCCGCTTCTCATTTTTGCTGTTACATTAATGACTTACCAAAATCTTTAAAATAATGCTTCCTTCACCTTTTTGCAGATGACTTTCAACATTACCTTTCCTTCCCTTCTGCCACAAAAGCTGAAGCTTCAGACCTGTTCGTATGTGTATTTAGATCAATATTTTTATCATAACCTTAATACATTTTGTTTTAATGTGAATCAGGGGAAATTAAATGACAGCCTTAACTCAATCGTATCATTGCACTTAATGTATTTAAAAATTTCTCAATTGTCTCTTCATGGTGGGGAAATTTGACCGGCGTCGATTTTCGAGAATATCCTGTTGCCGATTTGTTTGAAGGCGGCGCTGAAAGCGCGAGAGATGGCCGACTTAAGCTCGTGGAGGATCTCCCTCCAGTTTTCGTTGAGGAAAAGGTTCATGTTGTCACCTGAAACAGAACATCTCAATAATAACAGCGGATCCGACTTTTACTTTTCATTTTGGTTTATTGCTTTACCCAGTGCTTTGTCTCCGTTGAATAGGTTGTCATACTTCATTTTCATCAGGTCGACATCGAAGTTGAACTTGAACGAGTCGAGGTTATAAAAACTTTTGTTTCCATCGTTCTTGATGGTATATTTCAGATAAGCCTTCGCCTTAAAATTATCTATAATAAGGAGCTTCGTTAATAATCATGCTATTTAGCTATGAAAATAAGTGTTTGCATGTCACATTGCTCATCTAATTAATGATTAGTTACGACAATTTAGAGATCCTTTCAGGAAAGAAAGTAGAATGGTGACAGTTTCAATTCTTGAACTTCTAATAAAATATAATTACCTAATTCGAGAATGCAAGGGCCATCACCGTTAATAGGAAGCACCATGACTTTCCCGTTGACCTTATATTTCCCTTCCAATGTCAACTTCGGTACGGACAATTCGATAATCATATCTTTCCAATCGTTTCTGAAAAAGAAAAAATCTTAGCAGTTGAAACGTTTTTCTGCCGGTGTAACAAGAACTTACTGTACTCTTTCAATCTTGACGTTTTTCAACCCGATGACGTCCAGATCGAAGAAGTCCAGCGTGATGCTGACAGGCCCTGATCCCTGATCTATGGTCAAATGGGTAAAGTGCAACGGATCTACGGGCAGGATTCCGAGCTTTCGATTTCCTGGAAAATCGATTAATTCAATGTATTTGTACAAATGAATAATTAATATTCTTACCGGTCATCAAATCGCTCAAAGCGTTCTGTATCGCACCGACAAGACATTGGTTCATGTCGGGATCACCTTTCTTGCAAGCGACCCAATTCTTTGCTGTGGAAAGTTATGGTTATACGGATATAATAAATTTGTAGTTAATATAAAATATAGTCCATCAGACTATCTACCTGTCTCTCCTTTCTCTCTCTCTCTCTCTCTCTCTCTCTCTCTCTCTTTCTCTCTTTCTCTCTCTCTCTCTCTCTCTCTCTCTCTCTCTCTCTCTCTCTCTCTTCATAAATGTTAATTACAAAGCAGACTGATTTGTATCAGCCAAGAGAAGATAGATGAATAATGAATTTCTTCTACTGTTGGAATACTACCAACATCAAACAAATATGTATTTTTGCTAATGTCTGAATACATTACGTACAAAAAAAAAAATGGAAATTTTTCGCTGGAGGAAAAAGAAGAGGAAACCATTTTAACAGCTTGAACTCGAGAATCATTAGGTTTATTTCGCAGGCAGGTCGTTGTTGCGCAGTTGAGTTTGGGCATTCCAACACGGTATGAAGGCAAACCCAAACTGTCAGTCGTCCGTTCCAGCACGTTTCCAGGCCCAGTTTGTGACTGGTTTTTGACCGTCCAAGGATTTGAATATGGGGCAGGTATATGGGCAAATGTTTCCCAACACGTTCGCTCTCGTCAAATCGCGAAGTTTTTACTTAACTAGGAACCGGATTTATACGTGAAATAAAACAAACAAAATAAGAAAAACAAACAAGAATATATATNCATTGTATAAATTCAATTTTTTTTATCTAACATTTTCTAGCATTGTATAAATTAATTTTTTTATCTAAGATTTTCTAGCATTGTATAAATTCAATTTTTTTAATCTAAAATTTTCTAGCATTGTATAAATTCATTTTTTTCAATATAAATTTTTCTAGCATTGTATAAATTCACTTTTTTTAATCTAAAATTTTCTAGCATTGTATAAATTCATTTTTTTCACATCCTACATGTATTTTAAAATTGAAACAATGTTTATAAATCCCAGGCCGTGAAGATGAACTCAGTAAAGATCGAAACGTTGGCACGATAAAGAAAATGTTTTTCTAAAACCAACATCACACCAGACCGCATCTGTCGACCTCCAAATAATAATAAAACATTTAGTTATGTATTTTTTTTCAAAAATTATAATTTCATTTGATATATTCAATAAAAGAAAGCTCTTTTGATGAATATTTAGGATTAAAGGAACCAGGTATTCCGAAGTAGTTGAATTTATTGTTGCACCCGGCATGCCTGGCTTCTTTTCACCAAAATATTCCTAATTAGAATTTTTTAAGTAAAAACTAAATACATATAATTGTGCTTATTCTTAACTAATATGCAAGTAAACAAAATATGTAAAATATGAAATATTTAGTTATGTATTTTTTTTCAAAAATTATAATTTGAATTTTGTTACTCAATAAAAAAAGTTCTTATGATGAATATTTAGGATAAAAGGAACCAGGAATTCCATGGTAGTTGAATTTATTGTTGTAAACGGTGTTGAGGAGAGGGGCGGGTCGTTTTGGACCAGCAAACCTCCGATCTAGTTTCTATCAATGCCTGTCTTCTTTCTCACTACGATATGACTACGTAAAGGCGGGTATAAACCTTCACGGAAAACACATTAAAAATAAAACAATTAAATTACAATTAAAATAAATAGGTATAAATCAATAAATCTTCTTTGATTAAAAAACAAATAATTTTAAGTAATAAAGAAAAAATATATAAATAATAGATTTCAACTTCAAGTAAATAAAGTAAAATAAATTGTCAACTTCTAATAAAATAAACTATTGTAAACTTCAAATGAATGAATTTAAAAAAATCCGAATCCAAAATAAGTAAAATTAAAATGAACTTAAATTAACGATCGATCGATATTACAAGCTAGCAAACAGTCCAAATATTTAATAAAGTGGTACCGCTTCCCTCATAAAACGACGATCCAACGATGAACGGGTTGGCGATGATATTGATGACGATGATGAGGAAAAATGGTGACGATGCGATGAGAAAAACGAAAAAAAAATTATTTCGACGGAACAACGAACGAAAGACGACTGACTCTTATCTGCCGTAATCCGCCAACGCCGACTCACTGAGCCAAATAATAAAAAGGTGCGGATTAACGAAACGCGATCTTTTAAATAAATTCAACAATTAATTAGCGTTAACAAACGGCATTCCTGGTTTCTTTTATCCAAAATGTTCATGATTTGAATTTTTTTTAAAAACCATTTTCTACCTCACCGTGGACCTAACATTTTAAAGAAGTTCTATGTGGTACAATTATAATATAAGGGGGAAAAAATTGATAAATTCTAGAAGGGATATCATCGTTAATAATTTCGAATAAAACTAATTAACCATAACGAATCTTCATGTTACTTTATCGACGTGAAATTCCTGTTTTAGGACTATAAACAATTTTTAAAGTGTTTCAATTTTGAAACCAGAATATAATTATGCCTGGGTAGACCAGTCGGAGATTGGAAAAAGCGTTACAACAGAGTTAAGAATCAGTCAATGTTCGGGCACGAGCAGTCATAAATCATGGATTATTTGGATGAAACCTATTTGTTTTTCTGGGACGGGGTTCGCAACAGGAGAGGTCATATCAACCCTCGGAGTGCCGGTGTTTTTGAAAAAAAAGCCCATTTATAAGTATGTATGCGGGCCCTGGATTCGAACCCGGGACCTTCACCTTACAGTGATGAGCGCCGTCCCTACGCCTCAACCTTTGCGGCCCCCTGAAACCTATCAAAGCTCGGAGAGCAGTTGCGTACCAACTGATAGAGTTTTTTAAGATTAATGAAAAGTGAAAAAAGAATGTTTTCGTTTAGCTGAAAAGTTTCTAGAAACGTCCAGTCATAAGGTTAATTCTTATAAAAGACAATGTTACAGGAAGAATATGACTTCCCATTAAATCATCATCATTAATCATTGCCTTGAAGTCAATTTTGTGTTTTCTGTGCAGTTCTGTCACGTGGTACGGCCCGTTTTTGGTAATCGTTGTCTGTCTATCTATCCACGATCAACGAGTCTGACAGAGAGAATATAGGTGGACCACCAGGTTCGGAATGAAACGACCAACTTATTGTATTTTATACTTTGGTTGATAACTTACGGAATTTGGCCGCTTGGCTGTTGGCGATGAGTGCAATCAGGGCTAACGTGAGCAACATGACGACGATCGTGAGATGAATCCTCCCTTGAAACAATACCAGAGGATATATACCTGCCAAACGCCCCCCTCTTGGAGGGAAATAATGACGCGAAGAGCATGCAAAGCCTTAAGATGTCCTTGCCGAGCGGTTAATTGCCCTTGTTACGAACAGAAGCCAAAATTGGTATACTTGGAAATAATAATTAACAAAAACAAATTGAGATATGTAGGAAAATAGGCACATCCTGCTATTTGTTTATCACACGACGTTTAAAATTGCATGTATGATGTGTCAAATGGCGTCTTCTTTTTGTCAAATAGTCTTTGAACTGGTCCAAACTTCCCTATATGCGTCAAGTTGTCAGCTTTAATTGGCTTAAGAGAAAATCATTGTGTAACACTTGAACGAGCATGATATATAAAATTAAAGCCAAAACTGCCAATATAGTTTTAATTATGGACAATAAAACATATCCAACACTGAAGGCATTAGTAAAACAATGCCACTAAAACACATTAAAAGCAAATTAGGCTGAATGATAATCTAGTGAGCTTAAAAATGTTGCAAAATGTGGTGTTATACATGTATATAAATGTACATAAAACACTGATTTACAGTGAACTGTGTTTCACTACTATAGGAAAGTACAGTACGCTAAGCGAGCAAAAGAATAACCAGTAAGAACTCTGGCAAACAACCCAAAATGGTGGTCAGAATATACACCAACTATTTGAAAGAATTTGCGGTCTAAATTACATATTTTTTGGTAGTGTCCATTCTGACTGTGGAAGTCCATAATAAGATGACGGTTAGGATATAAATTAAATACCTTGGAAATGCAAAACCTGCTGATCCCCTGGGTGGGTGCCAGGGCATACAGGAGATGAGTAAAACCAATAAGCAAATGTCCTTGGTTAATGAGCTGCCACACCGATCACACTTTTATTGCATTACAGAACACTTGCCCGCAGGAGTACCTGCAACACAACCGTGAAGTACCTACAACAACTTTTGTAGCGAGGTTGTATAACATTCTTCTACAATTGACAGGTGTACTTTAATTAAGTACAGAAAGTAGATCAAGCAAATCTTAATAGAGTAGTATAACAACCCTTGAAATTTTCATCATTATTAGGAAGAAAAGTGATGATATAAGTGTATGAAGTATGTAAAATAGAACACCGATTGTGAGAGTATGTCACACACTGTCACTCAACAGGATTTCTCGTAGATTATTTAGCCAGATAACTGCTGAACACTTTGGCAGTACTTATTTTTTTGGCGATTCATATTCAAAAGCTGCTGTTCTAAAGTTACGTGCTTTATTTATAATTAATGTTTAATTATTGTTAATTGTGCTAGAAAATCCGAGTACGCAAGTATCTTCCAATTTGTAACTCCTCGAATGATATCGCACGTTAAATGAAAATGAAATAAAGTAAGTCCGTAAATGGGTTGTTGGTTTATATATTCTACAATTAATTCATGTAAAAATATATATCTGTTATACACTAAAAGACGTAGGTTGTATTAATCGATTATTTTTCCATAATAATTAAGTAAGTATAAAGATTAATGGTTACTTGGAGATCGTGAGGTGCGATCTGGTGTGACGTAGGTTTTGGAAACACATTTCCTTTATCGTGCCAACGTTTCGACCTTTATTGAGATCATCCTCAGGGCTCAAAGTGTTTATTTTCCTTGTAGATGTGTCATTCGTGCCTGTCGTGTTGAGAGTGCCCACCACCATAAACACCACACATAAAGATTAATGGTTAACTTAAAACGCGAGCACAACATTCATAATTTGTTGTTTACCTTTATAGAATGTAACTAACCATTTTACACTCTTTAGATTAAAAATATCAAAAATCAGTTCGATTTTATCCTTTGCAGAGCCAACTTGTCGAATGAGTTAATTGGTTTTTAAAATGTTTTCTTTGATAAAACAATAAACTTGAATTAATGTTTTTCCTGAAAACAGCATGTTAACACACGAACACTTATTTCTGGGCCAAAACCCGCATATGTATCTGGCATGAAGAGAAAGGTTGCTCGATGTGTCCCACCAAAAGGAAGGATGCAATTCCTTGGCGCCGCGCAGAAAGGAATACAACCTGGTATGAGATTTGTGCTTGAGGTGTTGAGTATATAGATCTTCTGTTACGGTTCTTGGAGGTTCTATTGCATAGTAATAATAGTTGTGAACCTAGATTATGTTGTGTATTTATTAGCGTGAATGTGTGAGAGGGTCGATGGCGGAAAATTGAGTTCCCCATCGTCTCTCAATTAGGTTAGTTGTATAATATCCGAAAAGGGTAATGGAGGAATATCGAGTACTCCATCAACCCAATTGAATGAATGGCACGTCAATAGGAGTGAAGGTATTTGAGTGTGTTTGGAACTGCATGTGTTGGGTACTGAATTGAACTGCTGACAGCACCCCCCACCTCGGAGCAAAACCTCGTTGGCTGGACAGATAAGAAAGAGGTATACCCCGGGCTTTCAACACCCGGAGTGGATGATTCACGAATCTGCCGGCAATTTATTGAGAATAGCAAACGCTGGAATAGACGGGGGACTACGAGAAGCAAATAGGCTCAATTCGGCACATGCTTGTATGTATGTACTTACATGTGCGTAATTGAGCCTACGTAAATACGAATCCAATCCAATCTTAAAAGGATGGTTTTTAGTCGAGAACATCTCGCCGGGACTAGATGCTATGGCCAATGACATCGCCCATTTCCTGGGTGTCCAGCACTATACCATCTTCGACGGTCTCCAGCGGTTTAGAGCCACTTCAAATCTCAATCGAAGAGAAAGTAGTGGTCGATCGCAATATACGACGGCTAGGGACGATCGTTTTATCGCTCTACCTGTCTACGGAAGAGACATTTAACAGCTTCCTTGTTAAGTAGTCAACTCCAAATGGTCCATAACGATATCTAAAATAGGCATCTCAAAACATCGTGGGAATAGCTTCTCTTCTACTTCAGAGTCATCGAGCAGAATGGCGAATATTTGGAAATCAGCATTTCCCTTGGACACTTGAAAAATGGGGGCTGTTTGTTGCCAGATGAGTGCCGGTTTGGTTTGTGGCAATCATAACGGACCGTCTGTGGAGAAGACATGGAGTATGCTATGCGGGGGTCATAACCTTTTCTAAAAAGTCACTTATGGTGTGGGGTGGAATCAACTTCGATGCTTGTACTGGACTGATTATCATACGGAATCTGTTACTGTACTAAAGAGCATTGAGAAAATCTTCTGAAAGCTGTGCTCCCATTCGCTCCATTTATCGGGGACAACTTCGTGTTAATGCATGATAATGCTCAACAGCATGTAACTCGAGCTATCACCCATTACATGGAGGGTATTGGGATTACCACAATGAAATGGCCAGCACGTTTTCCTCACATGAATGCCATAGAAAATTTATGGGACATGATAAATGGTTTGACATCGTTCGCCGTCTCCAAAAACTTTGAACAGCTTTAAACCGCTCTTGTTGAAGAATGTGTTCTGTTTCACAAGACGAAATCCGATCACTCATTTATTTAATGTTACTAACTTACACTTAGAATAAATTACTTATATAAGGTTTGTGCTAATCTAAATCGTTGTCGTAATATAGAATAACATGGTTTTGAATCGTATATCACGATGGTGAATCCTACGCTTTCTGCGTGACTACTTTCATCGACGAAGGTTTGGGCGAAGGACCACGATGCTTTCGCTTTATGAGCTCGATGCGACCACTGCTCAAGCCGAGGATGCCTATAATTTGCCACCGCATGCACAGAAGACTTAAGGCCCTCCGCAAGCCCAGGGGAGGTAATTCGAGTTAATAAGAGCAAAACTAGGTTAAAAAAATTGTTAGTTAAATTTTAATTTATAACTAAATGATTTTCCGGTATGTTGATGAATTTTTTCAAACCATCATAATTAAATCATTTTTATTAAAACTTACGAATTTCTGATCTCGTTTAATTTGGTTTACATTAAAATTAGTATTTTGAAGTTAATATAACGACAAAAATACATATCGTTTAAAATAAACAATGAAATACGGTTGTATGGTTTTTTGTCTTTGAGTGTATAAATATTTTTGATTGTATACAATCGCTCTGACTAGTCATGTTTGTAAGTAACTTTTATAAATCCATGTTTATGCGAATGGCAGTGTGCTGAGTCGAAATTTTTCATATTAAGACCAGATAATTATCTTAATCATATATTTTTCGTGCGTATAAACATTTAACATGTATTATCATCGGTTATCATAGTATAAATTTGATACAGTTGCTTTCAGTAATATTATGTTTTTGTATAAATATCTTCACTTAGGTTCACAAATAATCAGTCTGAGCTTTTGTATACGATATGCAGTACTGATTTTTCATTCTGTACTCTAATATAAAATCAGTAAAATTTCGTTATTGCACAACCCTTGTTTTCCAAGCGCAGACTTAAAAAAGGATTATTTGGGGTTGGATGTGTTACAGGGGGGCTATTGAACTAGACTGGGAGTTTTTCTATTTCTATCTTAACATCGCCTTACAGTCTTCTTATTGCGAGTCAACCATTCAGATATCATTTTGAGGGTGGAAAATGTTTACGTGTGAAAATTAAGTACATATTCATTATTAACATTCCATTAACTTCATATTGAAAAAATGGTAAGTGGAGTTTTATTAGTTATTTTTATTACTATTATCCTGAACGTACCGAAACAATCACTTAGAGAAATTTACAAGCCATTAAACAAATTTAAAACACAAAAAAATCCCCTAATGTGATGGAATCTGTGTCAGAAATAAAACTTTGGCGTTATTTATTAAGTTTATTATCGTAGTATATTTTGTAAATAATAAAGCGGGCGTAAAGTTTCTAATGTGCAAACTTTTTTTACTTTCACTATTATTAAAATAAGTGGAACTAACTGAAATATTTCACATGGTTTAACGATTGAAAAAAATTAAAACCATAAAATTTTGAAGAATTAATTGGGCTTAAGAACTGAATATGGTCATTTATAAAAAATAAATTTGTTTAAGCCTTTACC